TTTTTTGGTCTTTTTGAGACAGGGTCTCCTAGTAGCCCCAGCTGTCCTGGATTTATTTGTTTGTTGACTGTTTGTTTTTTGATTTTGAGACAGGCTCTCACTCTGTGGGAGTAGCCTGGAAGTTACGGCAGTCTTCCTCCCTCGGAGTGCTCTGCTCCTTATTTTTATTACATTTATCTGACATACTGATTTTGGGTAGTTCTTTATATATTCTGGTACAAGCCCCTTTTCAGGCATATAGTCCTACTACATATAGTAAGTTTGTATTCTCACTGAGTGACTTGCTTTATATCTCCCTTGCTATTTAATTGCTTGCTTTGCTTACAAGGATTTCAATGTTTATTTATTATTCAGTGCTTTCTGTGTCCTCTTAAAAAAAAAAAGTCCTTTAATACCTAGACAAGAGGATATTTTCCTACAGTATTTTCGAGAGTGTAGTTGTACTTCATTTAGATACATAATCTGCCTGGAATTCATCTTTGCATGTGATGCATCTTTCCATGGGCCATGCTTTGTTCTCTCCTCATGTGTTTATATCTGAGTCCATTTATTGAAAAGGCTGTACTTCGTTTTTGTGATGTTGAGAATTCAGCCTAAGGCCTTGTACATGTTAGGCGAGTGCTCTCAGCCTATTCATATCCCCAGGCCTACTTTGCCTGTATTACAGAGCCTTTCCCATTGTTAAGTGTGGCTCTGCCTCTGGATCTGTGTTCGTTTCATTGTGTTTATAGTATGCTCTTCTGATTATTTCAGCCTGACTGATAGACTGTGTTCTTTGTTCTCTGTCCCCAAGAATATATTGACTGCTTTTTTTTACCTTTTGTGTTTCTGAATACATATGTTGGAATTGTTGAGTTTCAAACTGTCATTGTAGAATTTTGATTTCGCTTGTCTTTAAATTTTGATCAACTGGGAATTGATATCCTTATTTATCATATTACCTAGCCCTTGTGAGCTGCACATCACTCCTTTTTAAAAAGTTATTCTTAATTTCTGTCAATAACGTCTTACATATTTTTAAGTTTTTAATTTAATTTAATTTAAAATTTTGGGGTGTTATGATCAAACCCTGGGCCTTGTATCTATTCTAGGGAAGCACTGCATCACTGAGTTACATCCATAGCCCTTGTTTTTCTTAAAGCAGACTTTTGCTATGTAGCTCAGAATGGCCTAGAACTTACTCTCATCTAGGTTGGCCTGGGACTCATGATCCTCCTCCTGCTGCATCTAGACTGGAGGGATTATAGGCATGCACCACCTTGCTTGTCTACTTTTTATTTTACTGAGTAACAATCTTAAATATCTTTCATTAGATTTATTGATTTATATGCTATCATAATAAATATTTATTTTTCAAATTTCATTTTCTAACTCCTCATATGATAAAAAAGCTTGCAAATTTTGCTTTTTGGCTAAGTCACATTTTCTTTTGACTAGTGTTGGGATGATAAGATTTCTTTTTTCTGTCCTTTTACTTT